ATGATGCATCCGCCTCGCCACATACGAGCGATACCAGCGTAGTTCAAGTTCCAGTTCAACTAGACTTCCGGTTAGAGTGAATACTTCAGCTGTTTAAGCGTTACCAACCTCCTTGGCGGTCTCCCTCATGAGCATGAAGCCCTGTGTGTAAGAGATGATCTTGGAGGCATACAATGCCTGTTCAAGGTCATCAATGAACTGTTGCTTGTCACCGCGGAAGGCATCCCTTTGAGGGCCGTTGATAACTTTGCTGGCGCGCACGCGCTCATCCTTGATAGCAGACAAGCAACGTGCGAACACAGCCTCACCGATAAGCGTGACTGTTGATCGCGGTTAAAGATCGCACTTAGTTCGGATGAGTAGTAGCATACCGGCAGTGCCAGCGTCTAGGGCAGCAATTGCCGTCCATTTTCCGGTACCCTTCTGACCAGCCTTGTCAAGAATTTTGGTGACGAGGGGTACACCGTCGTCGTCGTTGAATTTGAGAATGTTGGCAGTAATTTCAATGAGGAAGGAGTCAAGGACACCCTTGTTCCACGTTGTGAAGATGTCAGCTATCTCACTCTCGTTGATACCAAGGCCACGTTTAAGGATATCGTAGGCTTCGGCGATCAGCTGCATGTCACCGTATTCGATACCTGGAATGATTGCCTTAGCCCTACAAACTACAGGGGGGAAATGATGATAATCACCATTGTGAACCATCTTGACGTAGTGACCAGAACCAGTCTCTCCGACCCAGTCACAGCAGGGTTCACCGTTGACCTGAGCAGCGGTTTTCTGGAAGATCTCTTTGATAGCGGGCCAGGCAGCGTTTGAACCACCAGGCATGAGGGAGGGACCATGACGAGCACCTTCCTCACCACCAGAGACACCAGAGCCGACGAAAAGGAGGCCCTTCGCCTCAAGCTCCTTGGTGCGGCGGATGGAATCGGGGTAGTGTGAGTTGCCACCGTCGATGACGATGTCGCCCGCCTCCAAGTAGGGCTCGAGTTGCTGGATGAAGCTGTCGACTGCAGGACCAGCCTTGACCAGAAGGATGATCTTGCGAGGGCGCTTGAGTTTAGCGCAGAGCTCCTGGATGGAGTGTGCGCCCTGGACCTTGGTGCCTACACTGAGTCAGTGATAGGGATGGGGGGTATGAGGTCATAGATAACCTTTTGCCTCGTTGGCGAGGAAATCGTCGACTTTGCTGGTAGTACGGTTGTAAGCAACAACAGTAAAGCCTTTGTCGTTCATGTTGAGGATCAGATTTTGACCCTTGTACCAAATTCACATTATGCGACGGCTGCTATGCAAAGATATCTTACCATGACGGCGAGACCGATGAGGCCGATATCACCTCTACGGGAGAGGGGTCAGCATATTAATTCTGCATGATCGTCATGATGGATGAGTAGGACGCACACTGGGGCCGACATATGTGTTTTTGAAGGATGTGGTTAAGGAAGAAGAGAGGATGATGGAATTGCGATGGAGAGATGGGGCAACCTCGATGGATTATTAACTAGATTAAAAGTCTACCGGAGCGCAAGGGCGTGAGACTCCACATATCAATTTGCTCCCATGCTCTGAATCAGCCAAATGGATAGTCACTGATGCGGCACAGCCCAATGGCTCAATTCACTTATGATAACAGAAATTCGAGATCAGGCTACATCTCCATATCGCTGGCGTAATTCTCGCAAAGATGCCTAGCCAAAAGCACATAGCATATAACGAAGGTGAAACCATATTCAGTTTAGCTGGGGCGCATCCTTCGAAACGCGTCTTGGCCCGGGCTAGCGCGTATGAGTGACAGACAGATTGTCGTGGGCAATATGACCGACAGCGAGAGAAAATTCTTTCAAAAATGCATGTTCGACTGCGAAAACAAATGTTTGAGACTCACCGACGATCTCACAACATATTGTGGTGAGGACAAGGCTGCCGCCAGAAATGAAAGACTCTTCAATTGAGCCAATCGCAACCCGGTCGACCCCGAGACTTTTCATGCGTCTTTACGTTGTCTTTCCCAGTCCTTTAGCACCTAATGAACGCGTGGGCCGGAATCGTGTCTTCTCTGACCAAGCTTAAAGTAATCGTTACCACGGAACACGTCCGACATCTTGCAACGAGGGCAAATATTCCTTCCTATAGATATAACTGGTCACTGCTTACTGTGCCTGCGTTTCGACAACGCTGATCCCATTATTGATACCCGAGCGCGAGTGGCACATGTCATCTGCTCGACAGTCTTTCCCTATCTCCATCGATACGACCCAGAAATCGGAAGCAGTGTGTGAAGGATGGGTCCTCAAGAAGAGAAGGAAAAAGATGCAAGGTATGTTCCTTGACCCTGACCTTCCAAGACCTTCCCAGCTCATGGAACTCCGGTCGTTATGTAGGTTTTGCACGGAGGTACTTTGTCCTCGACCAGTCAGGATCCTTGTCCTACTCCATCGATCCAAAACGTCCCATACGTGACCAGATATTCCTCCCTCATGCTGCGTTATCCACTGCTATTGGTCGTAAAGATATACACATAGACTCAAGTAATGCCACGTTTCATATAAAGTGTTTGACCGCAGATGACTTCAATAAATGGTTAGCTGCAATAAGGTGAATCAGGATCCTGGAATTCCGACGTGTTTGACACTAAGAGTGGCACATGTAGACAGTTTGTCCATCCCGAAGGACGACGGTCCCTTGCAGGAAAGATCACACCTCGGCTGAGTCAATCCCAGTTTAATAGATCTGGAATTCAAATAGCTGAAGATATTGGCTCTGTATGTACTCACCCTATTGCTCAGTATAAATGTACGTCGCTGACGCACTCAACAGACAATATCTGAGTTGGAAATTGCTTTCGCCACCCTCCAATCCGAAAGTACGCACGAGAGAAACCACCTTTCACTGAAGTCTAAGTCGGAGAAGGATAAGCATCATCACCATCCGAAAGATGTTTTTAACATGTTCAAAAAATGTGTTCCTCCATCCTTCTTTTGGATCGCTGCGTTTGTTGACCCAAGTCCTTTCAGCCCACCAGATTAACGAGGATGGCACGCTACCAAAGAGCAACCCTGATTCTTCGTCAAACGTTCGCTTTCAACAAATTACCACGACCCTTGCATCACTTAAGTCACAACATGCTGCCCTGCTCAAGTCCTTAGCGCATGATGTCACAGCCCCACCAACAGCCCGTGGCTCTCCTCTTCCTACTACTACAGAAGAGAAGGAAGAAGAACCTCTCTCAACTTCTCGCTTCAATACAGCACTCGCTCGTAGATCAAACTTAGCGATCTCCATGTCAAGTCTGAGTGACAGCGCACATAACGAATGGTTTGACGCCGAAGAGGGTCTAGGCGAGGAGTTTTTCTTGGATGTTCCCAACCCAGATGAGGAGAGGGACCTCATAGTTCTCCAATCTGAAAATAGCAGCTTAAATCAAACAGTATCTAGCGATGAGGAGGAGCATTCCTCACCTCTAGTCCATGATACAGATCCCTCCGCGAACGCTCGTCAGGTGGTACGACGGACGCGCTTACCTTCGGGACCGATCGGTGACGAGGGCAGTTTGTTTGCCATTCTCAAGAATAATGTCGGAAAGGTGACTTTTGGTGCTTCGGATACTGAAGACCCTTGGTTAATGAATTTGTCGAAGGACTTGTCCACAATCGCATTGCCCGTATCGTTCAATGAGCCCCTGACTTTGTTACAACGTACAGCAGAAGAACTGGAATATTACAACTTACTACACCAAGCAACTGAGGCCAAGGATCCCACTCAACGCCTGTGCTTCGTTGCTGCGTTTGCCGTGTCCGGCTACGCACACACAAGATATCGGACCGGTCGCAAAGGCTTGTAAGTTAGGAACATCGTATTTTACTTCTTCCGATGACCCTAACAACTCGGTCAGCAATCCCATGCTCGCTGAAACATTTGAAGATGTGCGAATGAAGTTCCTGGCTGAGAAGGTGTCCCACAATCCTGTCGTAATTGCATACCACGCAGAAGGCGAAGGCTGGGAATTGAACGCCACTTCGGCCGGGAAGACCAAGTTTTGGGGTGAGGATCATGCCTGGTACCGGTGCCGGTGGTTGACGTGTTTGATTTAAATATAGGCAAGAGTTTGGAAATCATTCCCCTTGGGACAACACGACTAAAGATTGGGAATGACACCTATGAATGGTGAGCCACGGTTGATCGTGCCTTTTCCGTGTAAAGATCTGACACTGGCAGGAACAAACCTTCGTCATTTATGCGAAACCTGATGATGGGAACAAAATACCTGGAACATTGTGGCAAAATGACCATTGAAAATACAACAAATGGTGCAACTTGCGTCCTTGACTTCAAGCAAAGCGGATATTGGGGTGCATCGAATGAAGTCTCTGGTATAATACTCTCTCCATCCCGTGATGTAACTGCCCGCATCGAAGGCAAATGGGACGAACAAGTCGCACAAGCGCTCGACTCTTCCTACTTGCATGTCCTCTGGCGCATCACTCCATTCCCGAAGGAGTCCCCTCAGTACTATGGCTTTACTGCGTTTGGCATGACATTGAACGAGATCACGAGCGACCTCGAGGGCCGTCTGCCTCCTACGGATTCACGATTCCGACCCGATGTGCGTGCACTAGAACATGGGAACGGTGATGAGGCGGAGGCTCAGAAGATACGTGTTGAGGAGATGCAAAGGGATAGGCGAAGACGTGGCATAAATCGAACTCCAAGGTGGTTTAAGCAGGACGGGGATGAGTGGACATATGTCGGAGGGTATTGGGAGGCCAGGGCAAAGGGGTGGAAGGACACTCCAGTCGAACCACTTTGGTGAACTCATTAACATTACATCTCTAACAACATGAGGCTTGGCCAGTTGAACATTAGACAAGTAGCCATAAAAACTACCATAGACAGTTTTGAATAACAAGATACGTCAAGCACTTAACATCTCATAGACGTAGTTACCAGTCTAGTCAGGCGGGGCCTGTGGGAGGGATTTGTCGCTTTTAAATTTACTCCTACTGGAGGGCGAGCTATATGACACAGAACCACGCGATCCCGCTCAGGTCTTGAGCGATGCGAAACAGAAGCAGGAAGCAGTCCGGAGCACATTAGCCAAGTACAGTCCCATCGCTACTTACGCAACATGATATAACCTAAGCATCGCTCAATCACGTAGGGAAGACATACCAGGGGCCCTGGAAATCGCGCTGGACAGCACACCTTATGGGCCAAATGACGAGGAAGCTAAGGCGACTTTGTTGTTGCACGACACCGCACCAATACGCTGACATTTGCGCAAGAAACCTTGCAGACCGTTGTTCGTTGTTTCGATACTGAATAGCATGAAGTCATCAGAGATAATTAACGTCGTCAAAGCGCTCTCCCAGGATGATCAGGACACGTTGATGAAGTACTTTTACAAGGGTATGGGAATGCCGGGCTGGTGTGGTGTGAGCGTCAGGCTCCTGGGTCGGTATGGGTGTCTAAACCTCACCTCCCATATAAACTTCCTAACCATAAATTTGCAGCTGACATTTCGTGCCTTTTCTTTGACCTAGGAGTAGTCATAGTACGAACGCAAGTGGTCGATGACTAACGGGAATTGCCGGTACATAGGCCGCCGATCGCGTGATCCATTTTAGTCCACCCTCATCTCCTTGAGCTTATTCTCTATTCACGATGTTCATTACTTTTATCCAGTCTCATATGGCAGCTCCTCTTCTACCACTGTGTACATGAGTACCTGCCGAGTTCGGGTTTTCCTGAATTCTCGCTATTCTCCTCCTGTGATGTAAGTTTATTCTTTACGTTCATTTTACAGGTCGTTTATCATCAAGGCTCCGTTCCGCGCCACTCATGTCTTCGACGAGCGTGACTGCCTACCCCTGACATGACATATCCGATTGCCTCATATACTGTGAGGCACCCGCAATATCACATTATCACTTTGAGATCCCGCATATCTTTTGCGCGTGGCTATTTAAATCGCTTGTCTGTCATCACCGTTCCGTATGAGTGAGTTTCAGACATTCTGGTGGTTATCACCACTGCTTCTGCGACAGTTGAACATGCTCGCAATAAGGCAAACTGATTGTCTGGTACCTGAGCGCTGAACATCCGGAAGACCGCTCACCTGCAAATGCAGTCGGAGCACTAGTGTGGTACGTTTTGGTGTAGGCTGTCAGGCCAGAAGACACGTCACATGCATGCAAAGACCAAGTGATAAATATCACTAGCTACAAGCCAGGAGATTTGTCGGGGATAAAACATAGCTGGAGTACAATACCTAGTAAGAGCTGAAGACAGTGGCGATCAGGGTTCTGGCGCGGGCTCGCTAGTACTATTAGTGTGATTTATAAGCGTTTCGATATGATTGGATCGAGAAAAATATGTGACTGAACCGAACCGAATACGGAAAACGTGTTCTTTCAATATAAGACTGGGTGAGGAAGCCGGAGGATAAGCTTCAAGATGCTCTCAACAACCCTGCGGAGCAGTGCCCTCGCTGCAGGACCCACCCTCAGGCGAAGTCTAGCAACACACACGCCCTTTTACGAAAAGGACTGCTCTTCGATCACCCCACCTTATGCCCAGCTTATTGGAAAATTGGAACACGTTCGGGAGCTCTTGAACAACCGTCCTTTGACTTTAGCCGAAAAGATCTTGTACAGTCATCTCAATGACCCGGAAAAGAGCCTGTCTGGAGGAGGGAAGATCAGGGGAGAAAGCTACCTGCAGCTTACTCCTCAGCGTGTCGCAATGCAGGATGCTTCCGCCCAGTATGTTATTATTGCACATTATTCTGAGCCAGTATTGATCATGTACTTGCTTATAGAATGGCTTTGTATGCATTATATTTGTTCTTGGTGCAGATATTGTGATTTGACAATCCTGCTAGGCTTCAGTTCATGAGTGCCGGTCTCTCTCAATGTGCCGTTCCAACCAGCATACACTGCGACCATCTCATTCAAGCTATCGATGGTGCAGAATCAGACTTGAAGGTTTGGTTCCGTCCTCAGAACAGCACTTGTTACTCATGAGAAGGACACAAGCGGTCGATTACTTCCAATAAAGAAGTGTTCGATTTCCTTGAAAGTGCTGCTCGCAAGTACGGTATCGAATTCTGGAAACCGGGCTCCGGTATTATTCACCAGATCGTACTCGAGAACTATGCTGCTCCAGGAATACTCATGTGAGTGCATTCGTGTTGCATGTGCCTTATAGGTTTTAAAAGATGTCAATAAACAGGCTAGGCACAGGTGAGTTGGCCTTGTGACGACTTAGGTTGCTGGACTGACGTAGTGGTAGATTCACATACGCCTAATGCCGGAGGGCTCGGTCTGCTGGCTATTGGTGTTGGAGGTGCTGATGCGGTTGACGCTATGACTGGAACTCCTTGGGAACTGAAGGCCCCTCAGGTTGTTGGTGAGATAATTTAGATTACAGCTACGCGGTGCCTTCGCCTTCTAACATAATTGATATCAGGCATACACTTGACCGGGAAACTCAGTGGGTGGGCAACGCCTAAGGACTTGATCCTTCACCTCGCTGGAAAATTAACAGTTCGGGTAAGTCAACTACCAACTTTTTGAAAATGAGTTATGAACCCGTATTCAGGGAGGCACCGGACGCATTTTGGAGTACTTTGGCCCTGGTGTGGCCAACCAATCATGTACAGGTAAACTAAAACCACAAATGTAGGTTAATTTTGCACTGATTGGGATTCCGTGCTAGGTCTCGCTACGGTTGCTAATATGGGAGCTGAAGTCGGTGCTACAACCTCTACTTTCCCATACACGGAGAATATGCGCGCGTACTTGAATGCAACAGGACGTGCGCCCGTCGCTCGTGCTGCTGACCAGGCTGCATCGATGGGCTTCCTGAACGCTGATGAAGGTGCTGAATATGACGAAGTTATTGAAATAGTACGGTCGTCCTTGATTCGACGGACTAAGTGTCTTATTCGCATCTACAGAACTTGTCCGAACTCGAACCAACTATCAATGGTCCTTTCACTCCTGATTTGGCAACACCTTTATCAAAGTTCGGGTCTTTCGTGAAAGAGCAGGGTTGGAAGGACGAGCTTTCCGCCGGCCTCATTGGTTCGTGCACTAATAGCTCATATGAAGACATGGTAAATTATTTTTGATTTGATTGCACACTGCTGACCCGATGTAGACGCAAGTAGCAGATTTGGCCAAACAAGCAAAGGCTGCTGGCCTGGTCACCAAGGTTCCTTTCCTTTGCACTCCCGGTTCTGAACAGATTCGGGCGACTATGGAGCGCGACGGCATTACAAGCACTTTGGAAGATGTCGGCGCTGTGGTTTTGGCAAATGCGTGCGGTCCCTGTATCGGTCAAGTACGGATTACGTTTATCCCTCAGTCACAACTTTTGATTTCTTCACTTAGTGGAAACGAGATGATATGAAGGATGAAGAAAACGGTAAATGGATCTAGTAAATATTAATTGGACAAACTAAACTTTTTTCCAAAGCAATTTTGACATCTTTCAATAGGTAAGAAAGACGCCTTTCAACCTGTGACATTACTTATTTTTAATGATGCAGGAACTTCAAGTCTCGCAATGATGGAAACCGACTAACTATGAACTTTCTCGCATCGCCTACGATTGTGACGGCTATGGCATTTTCTGGCTCACTCTCGTTTAATCCGATAACGGATACCCTGACTCTGCCCTCTGGCAAACCGTTCAGGTTCTCTCCGCCTGCCGGACAGGATTTACCAACAGAAGGTTTCACTCAAGGTAACACCCACTACTACCCTTCTCCCACGCCAGAGCCACAACCAGAAACCGAGATTATCATTTGTGCGGACTCTCAGCGTCTTGAATTGTTGGAGCCTTTCCCAAGTCATTTCGGCAACAGGGGTCTGGAACTCCCGCCCTTGAAAGTACTGATGCGTGTAAGAGGGAAATGCACCACTGACCACATCTCTGCGGCTGTGAGTGAGATAAATGTTTACTGAAGTTGCCCAGCTAACTCACGTACAGGGCCCCTGGTTGAAATACAAAGGACATCTTACTAACATTTCTGAAAATCTTCGTGCGTCTTTGCGTACTCTTAACACATTTCGTTCTGACTATTGTTTGCAGTTATCACGGTGTGTTGCGCAAGCTGCCATCTGTAAGTATGATATTAACCTGACAACCAATGCAGGCTGTGAACGACGAAGGGGGCGACGTGAATGTTGCATTCGACTACGATCAGGCCACTGGCGAAACCGAGACCGACACCATTCCCGCAGTCGCAAAACAGTTCAAAGCTCGCAATCAGCCTTGGACTCTGGTCGTTGATGACAATTATGGCGAAGGTAGTGCTCGTGAGCATGCTGCACTCCAGCCTAGATTCTATGGTGCGTTGCAATATCTCGCATCGCATTTGAGCAGTTTCTCAATTGTGTTAGGGTGTGCAATGATTGTTGCAAGGTCTTTTGCTCGAATCCACGAGACTAACTTGAAGGCAAGTTGTGGTTGAACAACTATGGAATATCAGTCTAATTAGGATGCAGAAACAAGGAGTTCTTCCCCTTTGGTTTGCTGACAAGAACGACTACTCTCGCATCGGATCAGGTGACGTAGTCCAGACTATCGGCTTGGCAGACCTTATCGAGGGACGACAAAACGCCGAAGTCAAGCTTAAGGTCACCAAGCGTACCGGCGAGGTATTTGAGATACTTACAAAACATACCATGTCGGAGGATCAGTTGAAGTGGTTCCGCGCGGGTTCTGCCCTCAATTTCATTCGCTCACAGCTGTCATGATGAACCGATTACATCCACCTGTTACGGTGGTTCAATCGCGCGCAGTCCAACCTCAATTTGTAGTATGTTCGTCCATCATCTAAACCAGCCGGCGGGAACGGCGAACCAGTGGGGTACGCCCTACACTGGGGTATTTGCGATTTTAGTGATGCGACGCAGTGTACAGGTGCCCTTTAGACTAGATAGTATTGTCCGAAATATGGTAGATTACCCCAATGGACATGAAAATGGAAAACAAGAGACAATTGCATTCACATTGTAATGCACAAAAGGTGCGGGTGAATATCATTGCGATTGGGGGAATATATGCTACCTTGAACTCGTTAATGATTGTCCCAGGGAAGACAGTTGTTGAGATCCAATGTGGTCCTGTCCTTTGAGTGCATCCAAAGCTTGTTTAGCAAGAAGGACAGCAGATTCTGGCATGCCTGCCAATTGAGCGACCTTGAGGCCATGACTATCTCGATTCACGCCTGGCCGCAGACGGTGTGAGTAGGCAAAATGGTTGTCCTGATAGTTCTGCTGAGTAAGCACAAACACAATTTCATTTTGATTGCTCACGTCCGTCTCATCGACATCTGTACAAAAGAACCCAACCTCTTGGAAAACGCCGTCGCCACAGTGACTATCGGAGTAACCAAGCATATCTGCGAGTTCATGGAAATGAGTTGCAA